CACCACGGCCCCTCAGATAGAAATCTATGGTCCGATTGTACATCTGTGTGAGTTTGACCTATTTTTATACCTTACTTGACTTGTGCCTACTGTCTTCAACACACAAACGTTGTTGACTCGTTCCGGTCTTCTCTTCCGAATCATCCAACCTGTGCAAATGTGTGTTTTGTGTGTCGTGTAGCTCCAATGATACCAATTCCCATCTACTCATTTCAAATCCGGCGTGTGCCGTCACTGGAGCCTTGTGAAAAGCGAGTACCACTGATTTCTTGATATTCCGCGCTATTCCGCGGACAGGCTTGCATAAATACTGTGAAACCCAAAGGATGCGCGAGGGATTTGATAGTCTTAGGTTCCCCAAATCTAAGGAGCAATGGGAAAACCCCGGTTGATTTCGGCCCACGGACCCGCTGGTTGGTGGTTTCGCGCCCTGGTCGCCAAGTTACTTACAGCTCACTCCGCCGCTTGTTTCCTTTCTGGAGGAGATATTCGGCTCAGACTTCACACGGTGGATTTCCGCACTTGTGTAGTATTTCTCTAGGTGTTATCCGTAGTAATGAGTTCAGCTCGGATATGACTTGGTCCCCGAGCGCGTTCCATATCCAAGCATTTCTGCCGGTTCTTTTTAACTCTTTCAATTGGACTTAATGTATCTGTGGTCCCAGCGCTGACACTGACGCGAAAAGTCCCGCTAATAAAGCCAACGGGTTGTTGTGGTTCCTCTGGGATCCGTGGAGAAATCGATGCATTTCTGTTGCTCAACCGAGGAGTTCGATTTATTATTAGATGTTACTGGAAATAGATTTGAAGCAGAATCATCCGAAAAAAAACACCCCACATCTGACTGTTAGATTGGTCATTCTGAGGCACGATTCAAATGTGGAGTTTCGGAGAGCATGTGTCCTGATTCGGCAGGACAGTCGTATTTTCCCACAACACACCTAACGTTCTCCTTACGTAGTCTGGTTGACGATCTAGATGAACTGGTGTAGTATTAGATATTGCTTCGAATGGAAATCCCATAAACGAGAAAGGTGTCCCCCAACCAAACTTTGCCACCTCGGTTTTTGATCGGACTTGAGTCCCGCACTGGTCTTGTCAACTACACTGGCCGCACCTCCGTTTCAAAAGGTAACACTATGCCAGGAAGACCAAAACGGAGCAGCCAGGCGAAGAATAGCGAGCCCACATACTACGAATAATCATGGTACGAGTAGGTTTGTAGGTGAAGTAGTAATATTCTATGCGATGATATTTTGGAGTTCGTAAGGTGTTTCTTCCAGGCAACTAACATTCCAATATTTATTGGGGCTGCGAAACTGCCCCTCTCCGGGAAAGGACGGCTTAGACAAGTTTAGCCCTAGAAACCACGCACTCTGATTGCCCAGCGATTGACCGTCACCATCGACAAATTCTTCAATGCGGTCAAAATTCCAAAAGCCCTGCGCGGCTTCAAACGTATCTGCTATCACTATCACCATCGACAGCATAATATTAGTGTCTAACGCTGGTGCTTCGCTGCGTACAGCCATAATTTATCCGAAAGCCTGATTGTGAAGAAAAGAATAAAAGTGGACTGGAAAGGTAATTAGTGGCCGCCTACAACAGTCGTTCCGAGCTGCCTACACCTTCAGTCACCCATTCAGAAAATGTGGATAGAGGGGCGCGATTGATATCGGCTATGAGCCACACCTTGCAGCGTGTTCAACCATGCACAGTGGAGATCACGCGGACTCCATTTTGAGAAACGAGTCTCACGAACAGTACCCGGCCAGCTCTCTGCCTGGCTGGAGGTTATCAGCTGTCTGCTTGCGCTACTATGACTTGGGCACGGAGAACAGCACTATTTTCGGCAAACGGTTATTCTGAATGCGTGACACTCGACGCAACCATCGGAATGTTTGGTGGTGGACACATTTTTCGACGGAAATTTGTTTCCCAATAGGCACTCGTTCTCTAATCGCCTCAAAACTTATTCATCGGCAACTTTCACGGGCCATGATTCTGCGACAAGGGCGGTTAAAGAACTATGGACGTCTCAATTCCGCTTCTCGCAAAAAACACTTCTCAAAGCCATACAACAAACCGGCTCCTACCGTAGCTTGATGCATACATCCCTTAAGATTGAGTGATATGCCGCTTTGTCGCCATAGATGCCTCAAGTTAACAAGCGCTACCGGAGCCTTTGAGTTTCGTTCGTAGACTACGTTTGAAACTAATACAGTTTCCAAGATTCGTAAAATACTTCACAACTCCGAGTGTCTCCCTGGGACTGGCTTTGGGCATGGTCACCGAAGATAACTCTACCACCCACTGCCTTATGGACCAGAGTTTTGAGTCAGATGCCATGGTGGGAGCGCTCCGGAACAAAATGCTACATCCTCCCACTCACAAGTCAAGTGCTAATGATGGGATGCTTCATGAAATCTTCCTCGATCATAATAACTGTGATGTGGCATTTGCCCTTGCAGTCCCTTCACCGGTCTTCACCCACAACATTCTCCCTTCCCCGATAACACACTACAATCAGTCCATCTACTAGTCCAACAGTTTTCCGTGTCTTTCAAAGCACGCTAGAAATACCCCCCTACTGAATTCCAAAGATTTGATCCACCTTGCAGTTTTCTGTGTCCGTACTTTATCAAATTTTGCCACGGTCATCATTTGCTGAAACGTCGACGAATGTTGTATCCCAGAAACATGCATATGGTACCCCATTTCGTTCATCCACCTCAAGCTGCCTTGAAGGAGTTCAGATGTTTCTTCATTGTTCGTACTATCTATGTCGTGAGAGTGTACTCAGCCCCATGGCGGAAAGCGCTTTATTGCACTGCATGCCAGTAAACAATAGTCTGTGGGTTATATGCCTCTGTGATTCCATTAGGCTCAGTGCAGATCGATTCGGAAAATGGCGTCCGTTTGTCTTATGGACAAGCGCTCCGACATACTGCAGTTCTAAGGCTGAGAAAATTGGGTTTCATGGAGATCTTCCACGATTGCTTCAGTCAACAAAAAAGGACAGATAATAACAGTCGTCATCCTGGTTAGTGATGTGAGTGCTCAATTTGGACGGCGAAGCCTGGAACAACAAAAATCAGATGATAGATTCGGAGTCGATGGTCAGCGAATGGATAATGGAGAGATCTTCTTCAGTTGTGTGTATGTTCCTAACCAGCGTGAACTTTCAAACCATCTTCATTCTGAGTCAATTGGAGACTGTTTACATGGGCAGTTGTATAAGTTCCAGCTGACCGGCCTAAGTCGATATCCCTTCTCGAATCGAGATCCAGGACAGTTCTTGTCAACCTTAGCCACCTATGGTGTCGACGTGACGTCAGTTTATCTGTTAGGTGCGAAATATACACTGCTGCGGCGTGATCCTTTCCTGTAGGCGCCCTACACTCTTGGTGTTCCCTGATTTCAGTAGTGCGTTCAGTTCTGTCGATGGATTAGTTCTTTCCAACGCATTCCGTGAATATCGAGCGATGTTTGCATTCACGTGCCTGTCTGTGGTGGGTCTGTGGTGAAGAGGACGATACCTCAATCAAGGAGTGCACCCAGTACTGCAAGTTAAGCTGACTGGGCTATGTGTTATGCACGCCTAGTTACCTAGGGCATTGTTTTCTGTGCCCATTTCTGAGGAGCGCAAACATAGTGGTGGAACTAGCATGGCAAGAGGGAATGATGTTACGAAAAGTTTGGGTGCCATTGGTGCTGTTCGCCTGCGTGACCACATCTGCGCATGGTTAGATACACCACGATATATCATAGTTCTCAGGCTCACTTGCCGTCCTGGTCATTTATCACACCTACACAACCAGCCTCTCACATCAACGTCTATTCTTCATATGGGTAACCACAGATGTTGTACACTAATACACGTTGTCTTTTCCTCACCTGAATTCTATTATCGTTTGCCGTTACAGACGACATGTGGCCGCCTACTCACCCAAACCAATCACCGTATTATGTCCGTGCCTCCATCTGCTTTCAACACCAACCTGATTGAATGTAACCTTTCCGCGTCCTACTGGGACACATGAGCGTCCGTGAGCTAGCTGCCAGACATCACTCTTGATGACCGAGAGAACAAGCACCGGTCTATCTCACTGAAGTGTTTAGCCGCCATATCTTCACCCCCTAACGAGACTTTCGGGTCTATTTTCACACTGAAAACAGGTGGCTTGATTGCTGGTCCGGAGCGCAGTGTGATGGTAACGAGGAAACCGTTGTCTTCTCACGCCAACAGTGTTTGCGTAGACCCAAGAAGATTCGAAAGAAGACAGAAGTATAGAAATTTACTAAGACTTCCGGTACATGCCATCCCAGAGAAGAAAGTACTACACGGATGTCTGCCAACGTTTTTGTGTGACAGGGAACTACCAGGTGCAACGCTAAATTTTCAGGCTGAGATAATTCTGATGTCGTGCTCTAACTGCTCTCAGAACACGACTCTGGGGGCTTGTTCGGTCCGAAAACTTCGAGATATTTGAAAAGCTTCCCTAGTTGTTGTCCCTAATTGTTCTAGTTGTCCCTTTGACCCTATTAGTCCTCTTGTCCCCTCCCCCAAAGCAGTTTGTCGTCTACCTGAGTTATGACTGTCACGGCGTACAATTTCTCGCCAGCTGACAGAATAAATGAATGAAGGAAATTATTTGATAAATAAGTATATAGATGTCACAGATCTCTCGTATCTATCTTCTCCATTAAATCCGTCATCCACGCTTGCGTATGTATTCTCGACTCCATGATTCCGAAATGTATCATCCTGCTGCTCTCTTTTCAACCACGATGGGGATCTTACGCAGGATCAGCTGATTACCGTAGGGATGGGGCTATCCAAAAGTTTCTAACGGGAATTCCACGGCGCAAAAATTCAGTAGCACGAGGCCAACTGGTTTTCTAAGACTACTTAATTTGTTTGCCTAAGCCTGTTTTGGGTGGCTGTTCTAGCCTCTATTTAGCCACTGACAGCGCATGATGAGCTTCCCGCCGCCGATGTTCCAAAACCCATTATCTGTTGATGCCTATCTTTTCTTTCGTCTTCAGGTCAAGGACTCTACTTCAGGCATGAGCACCAACTTCACCGTTTCACTGTGCGTACTGAATCAATGGGCGCTTGACTTTGCCGGCAATACTGAACGCATTCTACGTAGTATCGCATTGTCCAAAGAGGCCGGTGCACGATATCGCCTCGGACCGGAACTGGAGTTGTGCGGTTATGGCTGTGAGGACCATTTTCACGAATTAGATACATTTGAACATTCTTGGGAGTGTCTGGCAAAAATTATCGATGAAACAAAGAGAAATCATCATATGACTGACATTATTTGTGACATCGGAATGCCCGTGATTCTATCGGGCGTGGCTTATAACTGTCGTGTTGTCATTCTAAACGGACGTATTCTTCTTATTCGTCCGAAACTCGTACTCGCTGATGGTGGACTTCATCGAGAAACACGATGGTTCACGGCGTGGCCTCATCCTTTGCGTGTGATTGAATTTGCACTACCTTCCGTGGTGCGTAAGGTGGCCACAGACGCGCAGGCGACCACAGTCTTTGGAGACGCACTGTTGCATTTCGTCAGCGAATCCACGGATGGTAACATCCTAATTGGACTTGAGATATGTGAAGAATTGTGGATCGGATCACCACCACATTTGAAGATGTACGCCTCTGGTGTGGATGTTGTCTTAAACGCCAGTGCTAGCCACCATGAACTACGAAAACTTGACAGGCGAGTCAATTTGGTTCAGATGGCTAGTCGATCCAGCGGAGGCGGACTATACGCCTACACCAACCTGCGGGGTTGTGATTCCGAACGGATATGTTATGACGGTGGGGCAATGGCAGCTGTTTCTGGGAAGCTGGTACTTCTTGGAAAGCAGTTTGGGTTGGATGAAGTTGAAGTGAACACTGTAACTGTGGACTTGAATGCGATCCGATCGAGACGGATAGGAAACACAAGTTTCGGGCGCAACTCTGCAGCCATGGCTGCTCTTGATACATGCTATCACAGTAAAACGGGCTATCCAGTAATCGAGGTAGGTTAATGGCTGCTCGGTGTTGCACGTTTCCGTATTTTCTTGCTGAACTTTTTTCTCAGTTGGATGATGTTTGTTAGTGTGGAAATCGCTTTCCGTAAATATGTCATGGTCAAGAAGGAAAAACACGCATGGAACGTGCTTAAACTATGGTGGCTATAGAGTCAGAGTATCGATTCATGGTTTGGTCGCCGAACATTCCGTCACCGTTGGAGGTGATGTCGACAATAACAAATGATGATAATCATTCAACCGTAACTTCCGGTGCGTGGGTGCCATACCACCCGAAGGAAGCACGATCGCTGAGATGCCATCAGGTCGGTCAAGCATAGACAGGAGGGGACCGCGGACCTTTCGGTCAGTAAATTCCCGCCCTAATCACTGAGGTACTTTGCATCACGCTGTCGAGGAATACTGCTATGATCATTCTGGAAGAGGCAGTTTTCTTCGGAGAGATTTCCCTTGAGGAAGTACTATTTGTACCTATCTGCACCGCTCGCACTGAACCCAATCAGCTTTGATAAAAATGCACTGGTATTTAGTACTGGTGCCTAAATGCCACACAGTCATGAGGGAAAAGACCATGGCAAGTATGAAAGGGAGAAAGCCATATCTTTAGGGAAGGCTGTCAAAGGAGGAGGACGTATACGCCTTCTAATGGCATTAAACGAACAAATATGCGCATCTTGATACGGTAAGACACCGTGTACCAGCCTGGCCAAGAATCATTTACAAACCTTGCCTAGCACAAGTTAGGTGTGCACGCCAGACTAACTGTAGCAACGCATTCCAGCATGCTGACCATCTAGGTTGGTTAGGTACCATGTTCTGTGGGGAGAATCACGTGGATCCAAACCAGGAAGGTGCGAAGGTTGCACAGGACTCATCCTGTATTGCTTTCATTCTCTACTCTCTTCTCCACAAATCCTTTTTCAACATGGAATTTGGGTGAATAATACAGCCTTCCTTGGGCCTGAGCAGTACATATTCCAAACACTGACTTGGCTAACTTTGTCTGATACTTTAATTGTTCCGACTCACTAGCACTTGTATACAAACCACTTCACTACGCAGATGACAGCCAGCGAACGTCGTCGATGCTACCAAGACAAGCGTTTTCATTTGGTTGAGGTCTTAGTACTGAAGAGACTAAGCTTCATACCATTTGACGGTTGACTTGTGAAATCGGTTTCTGAAGCCAAAGGTGACACGCGTTGGCGCGTGCACTGACTTCACCTGTCGTAATACCGGCGTTGCTTATGCAGCTGTCGAGAACGAAAAGCCGGTGAACAACTCAGGTCCTTTGTTATAAAGTTATGGGGCCCAGAAGAACGGGATATGAACTCCTGCATTTAGAAGGTTCAGAATGCATGCCGAAACAAAGGATCTCATGAAGATGGATGGCACATTGCTTGGGATTCGGACATATGTGCGGTCGCTCAGTTTGTATGACAGCTTCAACAAGAGCCTGCCACCCAACCTGTACTTTTAAAATGTGGGCCTTTCAGCATAACAGAGCATGTCCTTCAAGTGCTCCAAATTCAGGTTGATCTGCACTTTCTCTCCGTGTGCTGAACCACCTAAAAGCATACCAGGGCCATATGCAATCAAATATGACATAGACAAAACCCAGGTACTAAGGTTATCGGGTGTCAAAATGGGATTATCCGATCCTCCATAAAGGTTTTAGAACTACCGCTGAAACAAACCGACGCGCACTGAATGCGCTAACTGCATACTTGTCATGCAAACTAAATTTTCCAGTGGACGAGTCCCCATAGAAGACATTCTGTGACCATGAGTCCCTGAAAAGACGAAATGGCACATTAAAATGCCTCTCTCCCCTCAGTTAGGCAACTACGCTGCACAAGCTGTCTTCATAGCCATGTTTAGCTCACAACATTTCTCATAGAATCAATGAGTTTAGTCTTCAAGCCTCGCAAATCAGTTAGATGAATCGTACCGTACACAGCTTCATTTAGGTGTATTGCTACGACTGACTTCATAGGGGAACACTCGGCTAGGAGGATAATCCGATGAAACGCTCGATTGGAGCATATGCTGTAAGACCCATAGTTTGAAATTGCAAGCTGTCCAGCTATGCGACAGGCCTTAATTGAACCAAATTTCCCGGACCAGATGTGTTTAAATTCCATAGGGATGTGGAACCCAATTCCACGTGCACAGTATGAGGGAAAAGACCATGGCAAGTATGAAAGGGAGAAAGCCATATCTTTAGGGAAGGCTGTCAAAGGAGGAGGACGTATACGCCTTCTAATGGCATTAAACGAACAAATATGCGCATCTTGATACGGTAAGACACCGTGTACCAGCCTGGCCAAGAATCATTTACAAACCTTGCCTAGCACAAGTTAGGTGTGCACGCCAGACTAACTGTAGCAACGCATTCCAGCATGCTGACCATCTAGGTTGGTTAGGTACCATGTTCTGTGGGGAGAATCACGTGGATCCAAACCAGGAAGGTGCGAAGGTTGCACAGGACTCATCCTGTATTGCTTTCATTCTCTACTCTCTTCTCCACAAATCCTTTTTCAACATGGAATTTGGGTGAATAATACAGCCTTCCTTGGGCCTGAGCAGTACATATTCCAAACACTGACTTGGCTAACTTTGTCTGATACTTTAATTGTTCCGACTCACTAGCACTTGTATACAAACCACTTCACTACGCAGATGACAGCCAGCGAACGTCGTCGATGCTACCAAGACAAGCGTTTTCATTTGGTTGAGGTCTTAGTACTGAAGAGACTAAGCTTCATACCATTTGACGGTTGACTTGTGAAATCGGTTTCTGAAGCCAAAGGTGACACGCGTTGGCGCGTGCACTGACTTCACCTGTCGTAATACCGGCGTTGCTTATGCAGCTGTCGAGAACGAAAAGCCGGTGAACAACTCAGGTCCTTTGTTATAAAGTTATGGGGCCCAGAAGAACGGGATATGAACTCCTGCATTTAGAAGGTTCAGAATGCATGCCGAAACAAAGGATCTCATGAAGATGGATGGCACATTGCTTGGGATTCGGACATATGTGCGGTCGCTCAGTTTGTATGACAGCTTCAACAAGAGCCTGCCACCCAACCTGTACTTTTAAAATGTGGGCCTTTCAGCATAACAGAGCATGTCCTTCAAGTGCTCCAAATTCAGGTTGATCTGCACTTTCTCTCCGTGTGCTGAACCACCTAAAAGCATACCAGGGCCATATGCAATCAAATATGACATAGACAAAACCCAGGTACTAAGGTTATCGGGTGTCAAAATGGGATTATCCGATCCTCCATAAAGGTTTTAGAACTACCGCTGAAACAAACCGACGCGCACTGAATGCGCTAACTGCATACTTGTCATGCAAACTAAATTTTCCAGTGGACGAGTCCCCATAGAAGACATTCTGTGACCATGAGTCCCTGAAAAGACGAAATGGCACATTAAAATGCCTCTCTCCCCTCAGTTAGGCAACTACGCTGCACAAGCTGTCTTCATAGCCATGTTTAGCTCACAACATTTCTCATAGAATCAATGAGTTTAGTCTTCAAGCCTCGCAAATCAGTTAGATGAATCGTACCGTACACAGCTTCATTTAGGTGTATTGCTACGACTGACTTCATAGGGGAACACTCGGCTAGGAGGATAATCCGATGAAACGCTCGATTGGAGCATATGCTGTAAGACCCATAGTTTGAAATTGCAAGCTGTCCAGCTATGCGACAGGCCTTAATTGAACCAAATTTCCCGGACCAGATGTGTTTAAATTCCATAGGGATGTGGAACCCAATTCCACGTGCACAGTAAAGCCGAACATTTCATGTGCATTTTTAGGCTAATGATATGTCTCCGTGCCAACAACGAAAACACCCCATCTGTTTTCCCTACAAGAATCCTCAGTACCAGTACATTTGTTCTACTGTTCTTTGCATTAGGTTAATTTCTCCGCCTGCCATAAGGTGCACTGGGCCAAGCAGAATATTTCTGACAAAACTATTGAGTCTGCAATCGTGGAACCCTTACTGCTCACACCAGAAGAGGAGATAGCCAGAGGACCATCGCTGTGGCTGTGGGATATATTGCGGCGAAGCAAATCTGCCGGGTTCTTTCTTTGTCTTAGTGGCGGATTGGATAGTGCCTCAGTGGCATGTTTAGTTCTGTCACTTTGTAACGAGGTGAGTCACACGGCAAGTTCTGCTTTTTAGTCACTTGTTGCATTTGGTGATCGGAGACTGGGAGTGAATTCTCAGGTTTTAATACGTTGAGATGAAGTTTTTGTGCTTAAGCGTATTTCATTGATTCACGTGGTCTCTTGCTCGATGATTCTTTATTGAATTCCCGTGTTACGGTGATCGTACGTTTGTGATCGAAAGATGGAAAGTTACCAATACATATAGAATTACACTTAGATTCATACGCTGATCCATCCCGAAGAGAATGGGTCTTTTCGTTCTGTGACATTTTGTGTACTTCAACAATCCGACGAGACATGCCCGGCGGTGCCTATCCAGTGTCTGTTGCCAGGTTACTCAATAGACACAGGTGTCACGACCAGTCTCCCGACCCTCCAGTTTGGAAGCTGGAACGAGCATAGTAGTACTGTTGTGGTCTTACTCCAGCCACCGCCCTCTTGCGGTCGGGGTAAAGGCTTTGGTTTGGGGTCCTTATAGTCCCATTCGCGTATGAGCCACGTTCACTGTCGTGTAGTGATATCAATGTGGCCGACTTATTTGCTGCAAACTGCCGGTCGGAGGAGTGAAAACATCCGAATTCTGACGCATATAACCTTCCTTCATTGTTATATTTCAACTTTTACGTAGATCGAGGCTACAAGTGTGTCATTCAAAGATCCAGGAAAATAACGAGTTGCACGCCGCCACTCGTGTACCACTTTGAGTCCGCCAATAAAACTTAGTTTTATCTTTACTGTGTGAGTTTTTCATTTGAAAAATAATAAGTCAACAAACCGCATACTAGATCCCCTGAACACTTATTTGTCGCATTTTTGGAGCTCGAATACAGTGAATGGCCTTGCGGCGCCTTCACTATCCACGGATTTCAGGTTACTCTGCTGCAATCAAGAAGTAAGCACCTTGCCTGCCGCAAGGAATTCAGATCTGGTCGTACTAGCTAAATATTTCGGCACTTTTTTAAACAAAACACAGACATTGATAATCGCGTTTTGTAGCTACGTACCGTGCGCCAGTAGTACTAACCTTGACGCAATGGTCATCGTTGTGATACCTGTGGTCCCTCAGCTGTCGAACACTCTAGGGTGCACTCCTTGGATAAAATTGCTTCCACCACGATAGACTATACAGGACAATGTAAACGCTGGTTTTTCGACTACCTCTGCTGATGCATACATAGAAGGTACTGCATTTCAGAAAGGACGCTGTCACGCTGTATCCATCCAGGGTCAGAGCCACTTGTACGGAAGCCCGTGTAAGATGAGCGAGGCAGTGTTGTGGCGAGAAGTTCAAGGAACAAAAAGGCCGGTATAGAAGCTGTTTCAGTAGACGCGCACTAAAGGACCCAACAAAACATCCATTAGTAAGTTCCACAAAGATAGTAGTGCAAGTCCACTGTATGATAAAAGCAACATCTAGATTGCTCGGCGGGATGTTTTCAACGTCAATTCGGATGGCTTTCGGATTCTTCTTGTATGCCTTCGGCCCGACGCGAGCTGTAGTCCGTCAAGTTAGGTCCCCTCAGTTCATCACCTGCTGACCTGACCTTTGCCTTGAATCGCCACTGGACTTCTGATTCAGATAAGCTTCCACCAGCACTATTCAAGACTTTGATGAATCCTCGTATTCTGCCCCCAAATGGACTGTTTGAGTTTACTCTGGAGGAATATCGTGCTCCGAACAACAACTAAGCAATCAATCCTTCCTCAAAAATGTGTCATATAAGCCCTATATCTGACAAGCCTAATACCTGTCACAACGCAGTCTTTCGTTCTCCACGATATCTGACTTCGCCGTGTGAGACGCAAATCCGAAAACAACTAGACAAAATTTGACTGGGTGGATGCAACTTGATGGTGTTGTTACATCGCTTCAAATGTTAGAACAGCGGTACGCATACCTCGTGGCTCGATATATAAGATCAAGTACTTCTGACAAGGAGTGCCCTGAACTTCGACACATGTTCGTGAAAAAGTCTGCAATGAACTGTTTAAACGTTTTCCAACCGGTGTCGGGGTTCTCTAGGACTACTCTCATTTTTCGTTCAATTTCGTCACTGATACAGTCACAGAGTGCACACGCGAAGTGGTCGGAAGCCTAGCAATCAAACTGGGGGAAATAAGTGGATCTTGATCACTCTAACGATGTTTGTCACTCTCCACAATCTACCCCAAACAAAATTCCAGAAGTAGCCTCTTGTTTCCGCGTACATCATGAACCTTCAGTATCTGAATTTTAAAACAAGACTTTATCTTGCTTCAGGATTTTCATTCTACTTGTTTCCTCCTGTAGATGATTTGAATTTGTTGATCGGCTGCTGCGCGGACCGCGTTTCCACTTTTAGCGAGGATCTCTGTACACGCATCATCGAGGCGTGAAAAGCATTTGTCAACCAGTGGCGTCAAAGACGAATCCAAACAGAAACAGAGTACCGTGTATACAAGACACCTGTGAAAGCATACCTGCTTTACGGCTACGAAACACGGTCTCTGGTCCAAAGACCTCAGAAGCATTCAAACCAGTAGATTGGCAAGAGCTGGCTGTCTGCAGTATGGGTGAAACGAGATGTGTTGCCAAGTACTTGATATCAAAGCAAACGGAAAATAAGGCACATCAGGTTAGGGTTGCCGGACTGTGCACTAAACACGTCATCTCTCAAAGGGAGCGCCGTCTTCCGTTTCAAGCCAACCTTGTCCAGCGGTTTGCGTGACAAGGCCGTGATATAGCAGCACAATGAAAGCTGTCAGATTCTATATTACTCTGCTGGGCGCTGATTGCTACTTATTCCAGTCTGATATTCAGTTGTGTTTATTTCGTCGCTGTTCGAAGATTTAGGTACCGCGTTCTCGAATAATATGAGGTTTTAGGACTGATTCACACCTTTTCGCCTTCTTACTCTTTGCTGTGGTGTTCTTCATGGATTTATACAACTGGTTTATTGTTGTCTGTGATGATAATGGCCTTACACATTGGTAAGGTGAGGTAAGTTCCCCACTGAAGCAACGCTTCTGACGTGATCACATCCCTTTGTCTTTCTATCGGGGCTAGGTGTACAAGGCTATTCACGATGGGAATGTTGATGTTCTTCACAGCTACTGCCGTGTCACTGGCGAGTCCGAAGCGAACGTTCTCACTTTGACACCACGTGACATTTGTTCCCGTCTGTTTTACACCTGTTACATGCCTTCTGAAAACAGCTCTACTGAGACCGCGGAAAGAGCCAGTCGTTTAGCTGACGCCATCGGTTCGCATCATTTGACGGTAAGCTGTTTTACTCACCGTAACTCACCTGGCTGCCAATCCGCGTCCCTATGACATTTTCTGTGATAAACAGGTTCTGAGTTTTACTCGATACTTCCGTCCTGATTTCATACCGTTAATTCTTATGTATTCAGTGTCAGCTGTTGCGCTGAACTGAGAAACGACAGCTTCGTTCACCTTGTTGTTGTTAAGTGACGGTTTGATGCCCCAGTTTCGCTTACGAATTTACATTCCAGAGTCCGTGCGAATGACGAGTTTCATGGGATGTTCACACGTCTCCATAATTACAAAGTGTACATGTTGAGGGGCATTCATGGTTGCTTTCATATCCATCAGAGATAAAAAGGCATTTCGAAACTTTACAGTGTACCTTCTCCTACCTACCTGGGGTCGGTACCGAAATCCGAGCATTTTTGCCTCAAGATGACTCATTGAAAAGTAAGGAAAGTAAGGTGGCTCCTACCGCGTCACGCAGGTGTCAGGCGAAGGCAAGCTAGTTTCAAAATCTCTTGACGGAACAAGCCATAATGATGTAAAGGAAGCGCTGTTACGTGAATAGTTTTAGGTCAGTTGCGTGTTGAGTTAAAAGTTTCACATATCAAACTATCAGGGTATCTTTTTCAAGCCAGATCGTAGTTTTCATTCCCTCGCAACACTCATATGTGTTTGTACCGCTTGTGTCGTTACATGTTCCGTCGTCTCAAGAAGGTGATGAAACCCTCGAAGAAGGGAAGTGTACAAGAGCGTTTTGCGCCAGCAGCGATAACAGTTGTGGAGTAAAAAAAATTCCACCGAGCGGATTACCGTAATTAATAAATAGTAACCGTTCAGACATAATACCCTAGCTGCCACGCTACCCGGAGGAATCATGCGGGCTGAGATAGGGCCGATTTGCCAAAGCCTAGACAGGAGCAGTCGATGTACAGAGGTTGGGTTCGAACCACAGACATTCCGGTCAGTAAGTTCGCGCCTTAATGTCTGAGCTATCTCAAACTTGGACTACCGTAGCAGCGGATTATTCCAACAAGAGTCCCCAACAAGTTGCAATGTGAAATGCTCATCCCTACCCTCAAATCCTGGTGATAAGTGAACCCTTTTCGCACGGCAACAGCCAACACAAGGCTGCACATGCAGGAGGTGGGCGTCTGAAGGTTTAACTAAGCTATGTATATCTTGGTTGTGTTCTCCACTAACCTTACATCACATTTGTTTCGTTTATCAATTCGGTTTCTCTATCCGGTAATTGTTTCTACAGGTTGCGTGAGCAACCTATGCAATTTTTTGTTGCAATATCTCCAAACCTTATCCCCTATTTGGTTAGCTTGTTGAGTACGCACATGCTCCTCCGGTCCTTAGAAGACGTTGGCCGCTCGCCAAATAAATTATGACTTTTATACCTCTTCCAAGTATAACTTCGAAGAAATATACTGGAAAACAATTCCAACTCTCAGCTGTGACACCGTTTGATACGTAACTGCCACACAATCCGAATGGCTTACAAGGGCCGGGAAAATGCCATCCTAAGTCTAGATATGAGTGCTCGAAATGCCAGTCGTGGGTTCGAACCATGAGCGCACCGATGGCTAGCTCACTTATTAAGCCCTGAACTAGTTCGAGGGGGCCTAACGTTTCGCTACGTATTTCGCCGCTATAACACGTATATTTCGGACATGCAGGTTCAGGTCTCCATGATATTCGTTCTCCGAAGAAATTTCGGGATAGCCCTATGGCATCTAGTAGCTGCGACGACTGCTCCACGAACCAACTAGGAAACAAGGAACTCGATCTAGGCTATTAACTCAAAGTCCACCAGCAAGTATGTCATCACATCCCCATGACAATGTAAGCGCAGTCGTGCCTATTCTCAGCTGTCAAATCAGCCGAAATGCCATTGAACACCTGTGGAGTACCTGATTGGTGCTCCCCGCCTTCCAGGTAATCGCTTTCGTATCTCTGCTTGGCTGAAGATGCAGCTGCTAACCGACATCAATGGAATTTTTACTGTCAGTTTCTCTCTAGATTCTCTAGATGGGCATTCGGTGGTATAGGCACCTCGGGCGTCCGTGGTAGCGTGGCATTCCAATTTTGTCTTTGTTTCCATTGTTAGAATTTGTCCAAATAAGTTCACATGTTTGTGCCGTTGTTAGGCATCATTGTCCTCTTACTGGTGTCTGTTTTGTTTGTGATAGTGGATATGATGTACTGGTATCCACCTTTACACGTCCTTAATATAGTTTTGAAGAAACGTCCACAAATTTGAAAGCTGTAAACGTATTCACATGATATTAACCGTTTTTCCTTCAAATTGATCTGGAACTCAATCGGCTGGCTTTGCGAACAGAATTGCCACTTGAGTGGATAAAATCCAGTCATCAGTTTTTCGGGTGAATCCGTCTACTGATCAGGCCCACTTCCCTCTACCACCTTCGCCTTCTACAGCGACGATCCGCTTAGCAGTAAAAGACTCACGGAGATATCCCTGTTGAAAATCGCACAACACTGAATTGCGATTCGGGACTTCTCCGCCCGCATCTTTATTCTAGGATTAGATGGGTTGACTCGCAGGAGAGTTTAATTCATAACTGAATCCGTCCACTTCGATTACATGCTCTGTCTTTATATCGAGGCCTTACTAAGGTAGAATACTTCTCTTCTTGTGCTTCAGGGCAACATATCTGGCGTTGTTTCTAGTCTGCTCTCTTCATCCATGAAGTGTTTGCAAATGACACACCCGCCGCGGTACGAAACTCAGAATGGATGCAGAACTGAGAGTCTGGCTTTGCAGAATGTTCAAGCCAGAAGTCGTCTAGTCCTTGCTTATCTTTTATCGCAACTGTTGCCTTCACTACGCAACCTACCTGGTGGCCTTTTGGTGTTGAGTAGTGCTAATCTGGATGAGAGTCTTCGTGGCTACGCCACCAAGTAAGTCAACACACAGGAAATGTACGTAAAACTGTGCGAAACTGTACACTGGTTACCTCCGATAATGTTATTCTACCGTTTTTCATCCAGGTACGATTGTTCCAGTGCAGACCTGAATCCGATTGGAGGAATCAGCAAAGCAGATCTTCGCCGATTTGTTCATTACTGTAAACAGTCCTTATCCGAGTGTTTGGACCCAGAGCACTGTGTGATATTTCGGCAAGTACTCCAAGATATCCTATCGGCTCGCCCCACAGCCGAGTTAATGCCACTGTCCGAGGACGGAGGTATACAACAGACGGATGAAGAAGACATGGGCCTGACCTACAATATGTTATCCTTGTTTGGCCGTCTGCGAAAGATAGACAAATGCGGACCGTACAGTATGCTTCGCTGCCTTTTGGACGGAGCATGGTGCACGATCAAAAAGGACATTCCTTCGGACTGCTTCAACGAAGAAGGTCGCGTTGGTCTCGGGCTTGCTCGGTTTCTTGCTGACAAAGTAAAACTGTTCTTCCATGCATACGGGTTAAACCGACACAAGGCCACGGTGCTCCCGCCAGCTTATCACGCGGAAGCCTATGGGGCAGACGACAACCGGTATGTTGTATTCCTACTTGTTCGCCTATTTCAGTACATTGTACATGTTAATCCACTCTCACCAAATTCCCTGCTCTCTCTACACGGAAACCTAATACTTCGGCAGTAGAATTCCAGGATGGCCGTACCTAAGGCACAAAGCTACTACCTGAATTTCGGGTTTCGAACCGACTCCTGTTTTGCGTTTCTAGTGGGCAACCTGGTGATAACTCAGCTCTCGTGCTTCCTTTGAGCTGCACGGCAGCGTAAAAAGGAAGGGTCCCACGACGGCATGTATTTTTAGTTACGTGGTCAGTGATCTCAAGGAAATTATTGAAAGCAGGGTAAGCTGACGGACTGTCGGTGACTGAACAGTAAAGTTCGTGATGGGTCAAGTTCGTGCTACTCTGTTTGCATGCAATGCTGCTAGTTTATCTACGTGCATTTTTTCCAGCGTCTAACTTCGTCATCCTTTTATATACAACGATCATTTTTGTAGGCTTGTAAAAAATGACCCTGAATGCTTGGAACTAGAGCATCCATTCATGAAAAATGTCAGACAGTGTTCCTCTCTCCATTGTAGCAGGTGCTCACCTAAAAATGACGTTTTGAGTGTGACCATTTTTCAATATATTCCCTCGCAACACACTCCACTGCCGTGTGGTCTTGTCGATTTGGAGTTTGGTGCATCTAACGTAACCCACCCAGCATTCACTCGTGCTGAAAGTAACCTGCATCTTTGGGTCATCCAGAACCAGCGTTTGAGCTCCATATAATTGACCAACTGTCGAAACAAAGTACTAGCGTTTGTGGGCATCCTTGCATGCGCGCATGTTCGTGAGACCGTTCGATGTCACGGTGGAAGACAAAAAAACGACACCCCATGCGATCGTGTTAGGGGTCACGTTTGTGCACTTCTGTGCAGATTTGAATCACGGATAATCAAATGGATGCCGAGGCAGCCTCAGAATTGGATACAAAAGGAAAACTTTAATTCATTCAATACGTTGGCTAGAGAAACGTTATTTTGGCCCTGGTGTTTCGTCGGGTTCCTATTATTAGGACTTCACCAAGGCCATGTGTGTTTAGATGACAAAATTGTCACTATGTTCGGGCGATCATGGTGATGACAGTGTGATTACCGAATATACACTCATTTGCAAACTAATTTGGTTTTCCGAGAGATACCTGGAACCCAGCTGAATCTCTTGTTTGTGATGTTTCCAGGCAACTGAATGTACTGCACCAGGCCGTCTCATATTTCAGTCGCTACGATATCCGAGATATCGCGATATATATATATGTGTAATGCACTACTCATAAGGTTGCTGAAAACTCCTCGACAGTTGGGTTCCAGGTGAAAAAACCATATTAGTTTGCAAATGAGTGTATATTCGCTAATTTCGTGCAACTTAGTTTCAAGTAGAACATAAGGTTGACGGAAACTCGGAGACTGTGCCTACTTGCTGAGCCACAAGGGCGAAACCGGTCGTGGGCTGTCGAGGAGTTTTCAGCAACCTTATGAGTAGTGCATTACAAAAATGTATACAGTTTTGATTACATTTGTCACTAGTTTATATCAGGTCAAACCAATCGAACCGAAAAGTGAGGTNCATGAGGTTGCTGAAAATTCGTCGACAGCCCACGACCGGTTTCGTCCTTCTTGGGGCTCATCAGGTAGGCACAGCCCCTTATTTTCTACTTGAAACCAAATTGCACGAAATCAGAGAACTGCCCTTATTTGCAAACAAATTTGGTTTTGCGAGAGACTGCACTACCTGATGCTGAGCCACAAGGGCGAAACCGGTCGTGGGCTGTCGAGGAGTTTTCAGCAACCTTATGAGTAGTGCATTACAAAAATGTATACAGTTTTGATTACATTTGTCACTAGTTTATGTCAGGTCAAACCAATCGAACCGAAAAGTGAGGTTTTGCGAATGAAAGACAAAAATTTAGCGGGATCTACCGCATATTGTCAACTGTAATACAACATACACAGATTGCTTTGAAGCAAAAAGAATAAACTAAACACGAACAAAACGTGAGAGCGAGAGCCGCTTGATTTCTGATATCTATTGGTAACTCAATGAACAGTGTGACACTAACCCATCAGCATACTGGCGGCAAAAATTCCAAAGCGGAAATTCTCGTATAACCACCTGACTCGAAAATCCTCAGAGGTATTCATAAGCCATTGAAATACGGAGTTATGGCCTCCTCCTTTCATAGCGGCTCTTGCCACTGGGAACGGTTGCCCTAAAGGAATACTAGTTTATCCACTGTGTCGATCCCAGAAATCAACTCAGATGAAGATCTTGATCAGCTCCTGAGAAATCTCATTTTACGGGGAAAGGTTTTTGGCAGTGCACAAACAGTTCTCCTGGGTGTCGTCCCGAACTCTATATTGGTTGTTTAGTTGTTTGTGTTTGCCGACCCTTGTTTGTTTGAGTGCCTTGTTTGTCTGCATTACTAAAACAATTTAACCCTTCTGACTGGATGATCTTGGCTACGTCTGCCTCCCATGATTAGTCAACACGCTTTGTATCCGATCAAGGTGCCGTCACCGCAGGCCGTAAATCTTATCCCACACTTGCAGGTTCTTTGTGCAGCCCTACTGTCCAACTTGTTGGCACGTTCCAACAAATGCTAACATGATAATCCAAACCAGACGATGTTGCAGAACGGTACACAACTAACGCAGGTGAAATTAAAAGTTCAACATTGGGCCCAACGGGCTATTGGGGTAACGAAGCCAAAGAGGCTCCCGTAAGGCTCTTCGAATGGGTGATGCGACGCAAACCGTCCAACATGTCGTCGCCTTGAACACTAGTGTGCACTGCTTTAGTCGCTTGTGGCTGAACGTGACGATCACACACAATTATTATTGATGATTTGCAACCTTACACCGTTGCACTTCCTGTCAAACGTGCGCATCGTTTTGTTTACGAGCTCATTCGCGCATAAATTTCATTTACGTAGGACTTATTTTGATGAACCTAGCCACGGGAATTATTGATTTACCCCTGGAATGGGTTCTACATAGTTTGGCAACAGTTTATCTCGTCTCCGCTCTTCACAAAGCTTGTTATCGAATTGAAGACGCAGGTGATCTTTTGTGAGTCACTGGACAGCAGACGCTGAAAGTGACCGTGTCCAACGACCCACTCGACTACAAGGAATACAGAGTGCAGCGCAGCAAACGTAAGACGGATCAATAAGCAATGACCAAACTGGACATCCCGTGGGTCCACTAAACTGAGTTTGGCGCAAACGTGATAGCAGGGCTCCCAATCAACATCACACTGATAAAGAGCCGTTCGCAAATCAGATGTCCAGCTTAGAGAACAATCACAAATAGCAAGCTGTTGAACCCTTGACAGGACGAGCTAGGCATTTGTTCTGGATGGTTTTTATGGACCACCAGCCAACTCAGCTTCACATGCTCTCCTGTACTTTGGCAATATGATGTGGTGTACTTACCACCGAAGTACCATGGAACAGCAACACGCCTTGGCACGTAATATTGACAAATCCGATCAGCCCGTTCGATCAGATCATAGATACTTTCATCCGCATGATATTCAAATACTGGTCCCGACTGTTTAGTGGACGATTGTCCCGTAAGCAACAAAGAATCTAGAAGATGACACTCCTGTTTACTTGAAAATATCCATGTAAACGATGAGTTCACTGCCACTTGTTGTGATTAGATGACCGAATCAAGACCTAGTTGACCATGGCAACATGTCCGTCGATTTATTCTCAGTGTTTAACGCACATGTCATCTACAAACGTTACGTATATCATCATTGGTAATGGTAAATATTATTTCTCGTCCTCTCTTCTACTTTACTAGATTCGATCTCCGACCGCACTTATATCCAGTCGACTGGACGCACCAATTCTCCTGTATTGAGCGTCTGGTCAGCGAATGGGAAACCCAACTCGCCAGCCAAAGTGCAAGTTCTCTGTGAGCAACAACAGGAAATAAGATGTATCTAGTCCAATCTGACTGTAGCTATTTTCTAACCAATTTCTAGCTAATTTCTCGCGCCAGAATCTGTGACTCGTTTCTTATTTCATCTATACCTGTTCTGACGCACTTCTGGAGAAATATATTTTCTTAATTTTCCCTGAAAACGTGTTACTTACTTCGCATCATCATCGACAGCATGACATCTGTGTTCAACACCGATGCTTCAGTGCCGTACCGCTTACTTCGAGCAAAAAGTAAGAAATTCTGGTTGGTAAACACACTTTCGGAAGGATTCAGTGGGCTATCATTTGAACTCGTGTTAGTTCCAAGCGTGCACATGAATGTTGTCCGAACTGGGGATTAATCTATGGATGACGCCTTTCCTATGTGGCTCAACTGATTAGAGCGCGAATTTGCTGCCCGCAAGGCCCTTGGTTCGAACCCGACCCTGTCTTTGACTTCCCATGTCTAGGCTTGGGCAACCTGACAGTATCCCAGCCCTCGTGCTTCCTTCGGGTGGCGTGGCAGCTAAGCACCGAAAAAGCGTTACAGCTGAACGTTTAAGTTTTTGTCTGAGGGTCTTCATACGTGGGGAATAGTCTTTCTGGTGAACTGATCAACTGTCTTATCATTGCTTAATTCCTGATGATTCAGCTGATTCCCCTGACTATCGATTCTACGCGATGAAAACTGTTTGATAAGAAAACACGTGAGAGAAACACTCCTTGCGTAAGCATCGACCTATGGGTACGTTGCTCGCTCAAGAGCAAGAGCGGAAAGCAATGCAAGTTTCCTTCATGCCGGAAAAGTCAGAGAGGATACAAATTTCTTTATTCCATAGAATCTGTGACGACGCCAGCACAGGCAATAGGCCTAGACGTCTTCTTTTCAACAATGACAGAAGTTGACCACTGACCACAAGAAATGTCACTCACAGTTAGTAGGTCACCGGTCGGTTGCGTGAAGTGGACCTGCGAAGGTACGTCGGTGGCTTCCAGCGTCCCTGGTAGGCCTAACTGGCCAAATCCGTTCCACCCGAATACAAAGACTTCTCCGTCATCCGTGATACATGCTGTATGTCTGGCACCGCAGGCGACCTGGAGAAAGCAGGTAGTGGTAATTGTAAGCTTAAGAGCAGCACAACTCACTACACACTGAAAGGCTGTTAAAACTAAGAGTACCCCATTGTTCTTACCAAAATAGTCTTTCTCAACTCCGGTAAAAACATTTTTCGAATCATCAACATCTTTGGCGGAACAACGTTAGTGTTCGAAGCTGAAGCCTCGTTGCCCTACAACCATAATTTATTTGAAGGCCTTGTTTAGAAGAAAATAATGAAAACCGAAGAAGGGACTTAGTGCTATCCCACCAATCATCTTGAGGTGTCCACACCTTCAGACACTCATTTCGACAATGAAAATGCCATTAAAATCGATCAGGAGCCAGATCTTGCAGCGTCTCCAAGCCTGCACAAGGAGGATCGCGCGGATCCCATTTTGAAAGGCGAGTCCTACCGACAGTACCCATTCTTTTCGTAGTCCCTTTCACACCCTCTGCAAATTTAAAGGCTGGTGACCTCTCTGCCTGCGCCATTCTGAAGTGGGCACGGAAAGCAGAACTCTTCGGCAAATGATGATTCGGCATTCGCAATACATAATCGAACCAACACATTCTGCTGTTGAAAACAGTTTTGGGTTGAAATTCGTCGCACAATCGAACTCCCGTTTTCTATTTCCTTTTGGCTGATTCGCTTGTGCCAGGCTACACGAAGTGAGGTTTTGTGTGTCGAAGACCTGAAGACACCTTAGTTGCACTGCTTGAAGAGGCCACATCTCACAAACATACAACAAAACAGCCGATGGCTCAGGTGGTTAGAGCGCGAATTTACTGACCGGAAGGTCCCTGGTTCGAACCCGACCTCTGCCTCTCGACTTCCCCTGCCTAGGCTTGGGGAACTCTGCGGCGTCCAAGCCCTCGTGCTTCCTTCTGGTGGCATGACAGTTGGGCACCGAAAGGGCGCTACAGCTGAACCATGTATCTAGATCGTTCCATTACACAGTAGTCAGCGAACCACTTTTATGCATCGGACGAGACCAAAGTTCACTGGGTACGCATAACCCTCACTCTAGAAAGGATTCAGGACTTATTCGCTGGTGATGCATGTCAAGACAACAAGTACGTTTCTTTTGATATAAAGCAAAATCCGGTGGTATGAACTGAAAACATCCCAGCCAATATCACATTCACTATGCCGCAGCGGCATAGGAGTCTACTTCGATCGTCTCGGTAGTATTTTTGTTCGAACAGTCATTCACTCACTGTTGTGTGCAATGGCCGGAACAAAGCTCCGCACCTAAAGCTGTTGATATGGCGAAGATCAGGTGAAATGTTTGCATCGAAATCCCCAATCAACCAGTACATTAGCGAACTAGTCCGTTCGTAGTGCAGTAACGTGGAGCTGTTACTACATTTCCTGAGGAAAATGAGACCGGCGAAAACGGTAGCACGGTTTCAAATTGCAAGTTGTACGACTGGGGTAATTAGGCTCGGTGATGTCACAGAAACCAAACCAGTGTGCCCGTATGGGTGACCCTTGACGAGCGGACATAGAACGTTGAACAGACTGGCGTCTTGCCTGCAAGTGGAGCCACTGCTCTTAGTGGTTTACGGGATATTCACAGAAGTCGGTGGGCTACGTCAATTTCCGGAGCCAAACCATTTTGCATTGTTTCTAAATCCAGTCAAGGTTTTTGCGTTCCGCAAGCATTTAAAACCCAATGCCAGTTTCATAAAGATACAGGTTTCGAGAGCATATGCTACTCGTCGACACACGGGGGAAACCTGAGGTATAGCTTTTTTCCGACAATCAGTAGTGGGGTGAACCAACCACGTGCCTGGAAGGATCGGCTGAATTAAGCAAAGATCTTTCATGTTTGTTATCCACTCGCTTCTGCTTCCGTGTACATATGGCGCATTATCGCGTCTCAAAAAATCAGGGCCAAGGTGTTTGCCCCATAAGAATTACGCTGAATGGTGTTTTCTAAGCAAATCAAATGATCAGGCAACACAGTGGCTTCGTGCTTTTTATGCGACCCGGTGTGTTCGCTATTTCCGTAATAGCACTGAGAAATAAACGCCACAAGTTCTACTGAGGATGAATATCACTTCTTTCAGGCAAAGGTACCACTTTCAGATGCTCTGACTTTCAGGCTTTCCTCCGTCAAAACCTACCACTTCTCGACAGTCACTACTTTCTTAATTCGCGTACTGACAACGCTTGTATTTTGTCGACGATTCTGCAGACCACACCATTAGGGGCGACTCATCTACATATAAAACAGTTGGTAATTGATCAGGTGGCTGTTGATCTGTTCGCGCACTGAAGATGTCTCCTCGAAAGGTGACGAAACGTCTGCAAATAAATTGCCAAGCTCGGTGAACAACTAATACACCCGAGCTACCAATATCCCAACACATTACCAAGATATACAACACGCTAAACAACCATTTCCTGGACTGACATAGAATGAGATGTGCTTGCGCTTTGTACAGATGCCTGGGTTCTGCACACCACGCATCTTCTCCAATCCGTGTTGGTATGATGATACCTACCACTGTCCACTACAGGTTGATTCACTGGTTCAAGCAGGCACGGTGGTTAACATGCCGTCTGCTGAGAAATGTGCTCACATTCGTCTCATAAGCTAGCGATAATGATGAGGTTTGTCATATGTTACAGGAAAGCACTACCAAGTAATTTGAAATTTGTGAGTAATTTTGGAATTGGTTGGTGAGTGCTGAAGGCCATACCTCACGTGTCCTAAAAATTTCAAGCGTTGCGTATCGGTGCAAGCGAACTGAAGAAGAACCGACTACTTGTGTCTATTGCTTCCATCTTTGATCCAACAAAACAGACGTTTCACATGTTCCGACAGTTGTAAAAACCGAAGAATGTGGGTACCATCTTCTATTTTCATCGCACTTTTTCAACCTTTCATGCGCAACAATTACATCAAGTCATTGGTAAAAAGCTTAGGATTTAATGGGCACAACTGAACCGGAATGGCACCAGAAACAAAGCAACTCTAATGAACTTCAAGATACCAAAGACATTAACTAACAATTGAGAAAAACATGAGATTTACAATGAGGCGCCGAAGGATTCCAGTATGGATTTGGGTTGCGATTTTTGCAGTCTTACAAACCGCAACACGCACCACATATCAATACTATCAGCGCAAACTGGAAAACACAACTGAGTGGATTTGGCATGTTCCTTGACCCATTATCTTTGAAATTGTGGTATGGATTGATGACACTTAATGGGAAGTCAGTGAGTGGACATAATACACAATTGGAACCGGTAACACAGAGGCGCCACTCATCGCCGATCTATCAAAAGGAGCGAGTGATTCGATGTCCTGAAAGTTAAGTCTGTTGACAATTTGTTAGTATCCGTCCACTATTTAAGCTGCATGTCCTTTATAGGCCAATATCTGTAATGAAACTGGCGACCAGGACAGTCAGCGTTTGGGCTTGATGTTATCGTACCAAAATTGACAGTCCACTGGACTTTCCGAAACGTTTCAAAGTAGTGACAACTAGGAGAGGACTTTCTTTCCCTGGCACCTACTACCAGCTGGCTACAAATGAAGACCATGGGTTTTAAATGATTAAAGTTGACATTTTTTTTCGATCCCCAATATGCAGTCACTATTTGAAAGGATATGAAATACAAAAGAACAGGGCGTAAGTGCTAGACTAAGCTAGGAAGGCGAGATAACTCAGTGGTTAGCGTGGGGATTTACTGACCGCAAGGTCCGTGGTTCGAACCCAACCTATGCCTTCGACTTCTCCTGTCTAGGTTTGGGCGACCTGGCAATATCCAAGCCCTCGTGCTTCCTTCGAGTGGCATGGCAGCTAGGCACCGAAAGGGTGCCAGAGCTGAACAGTTTTTCAAACGGGTATGTGGGGCTCCATAAAACATCCACCTCTACGGAGCAACCGTTTTTGATCCCTCCCTTCAGTGAACGCCTATATTTTTTGCCATAGTTGGCAGAACGTGACTCCATGGAGGTATATACCAGTTCGTGGTTCCACTATAAGACCCCAGTATAGGAAGTGTTGAGAATTAGAACAAGGATTTGGGTTCCTCGACGAATTCAGCTGTACGACTAATGAACACGCACCTTGGTTACTATCTTATCTTCTGGAATATCCACCGGTTTGGGGAGTGCACTAACCGAAACGCAGTCCTCAAGGTTCCATGATTCAGCATGCTTTTTACGAATGGCAAACGACTTGTGTCCTAACTGACCGTGCTCGTTCCAGCCCCACGTGTATAGGTCACCAGAGTCTAGTTTTTTTATCCTGAAAGGTAATGTACAACAAACCTGTAACACAAGCCGAATGCCAGGCGCCAGCTGCAACTTGAATCACAACGAGCATCTGGAGCGCTTCCACGTGTGTCAGCTGTGGACGATCGTCCAAATCACCTAGCCCAAGCTGACCACGACTGGAACGAATCTCATTAATAAGCTCAACGATGCTTACCTTCCTAAACCGGAACTGTATAACTGTCCAATGATGCTGAGACAGAGAAGAAAGTTTGAGCCACATGCAACCGATTTCACTTTCATCGAGGGAATGGAACAAAACGGACTGAGTGAGAATTCCTCACACTCCGCTTTCGTTAATCTGAACAAATGTTGTTCCTCTGGATTTCGGTATGCCTTCACGAGCAAACAAAATCGTACCGGTGATACAGTAGATGGCGGGACCAGAACAACTCAGAGAGACAATCTTCCCCAAATTGGTCATTTTTAAACGACCCGTTTTCTTGTCTACTGTGAAAAGCTGTCCACTGGGCACAACTGCATAAACAGTCTGTTCGGATGAACAGATACTGGAAACTTCCTGCCGAATGGGCACCACATGGCTGCCACAGACAAAAGTATGATCGGTGGAGCCTGCAGTACTTGAAGGATTGTGGGATTAGAACTACCTCGCCAGAAAACGGAGCAGCTCCAGTCAGCCAATAGAGGATAGTCGTAGGCCTCAAACTCACGGAAGGTAAGAAACTTCCCGCTTAGAGAACGAAAAGTGCCGGTAGTCAAAGAAGTTAGCGTCTGAAAGCACATTAAAATTAATCAGAGTATAAGTGGAAAATAACGGACAGGTAGCGTACGTGGAGCATCTCCACGAAACTCTGGTGGACTGGGGTAATTTCATCATTAGATGAATTAATTAGGAGTCAGGCGGACTACGTCTAATTAGCCCAATATCCCGCAACATGTCGATAATGGAAATCAAAAAAACAGGGCGCGGCTATTTGGACTGAAGGACGACAACCGCGGACGAGTTGCATGAAACAAGGTGGGTACGAACAAACAAACCAAGACGAATTCGTACTATAAGCGGATGTAAAATGGGCGCAAACGACAATTATATTAGGAGAAAACTTTGGGCAAATGAGACGGTAGCCAAAATCACACTTGGTTTAAAGCAAAAAGCTGAGTCAGCAATGGCGCTCGTGCAAACGAGCTACTTTCTTCAATGCATAGCCCTCTCCCAATCTCCCCAAAGGAAAATCCACCAACATCAATTAGTTTGGCTACCGCCTTTAATGTGTAACTATCCACCCCACCTATCCAAATTATCGGTGAAAGGAAGTGTGGCAGTAAGAACCACGGAAGAGCAAGTGGGCGGTTTTCACAGATACGAGATCTTTTCAGTTTGGGGCTTTAATTATAATAAAACAACATTTGTGGTTCCATGATAGAGGAATATCAGTGTTATCACTGATGTTGCCGTCTTTGATGAACTGGTGATGAAGAAACGTTTTCAAGTGGGAGAAACAGATAAGCAATGCCGGTGAAACCGAGACGCATCCCAATGACCATAAATCCTGAGACTCCAGACGATCAGGTCAACAGCCGCGCATGGTTTAAATCAGTCCAACCAGATCGGAAGCAAATCGACGCACTCCACCATCCTCATTGCTCACAGCATGACAGATGTTCAACATCGATGCCTCGCTCCCGTACAACCATAATTTATTTGAAAGCCTTGTTTGGAAAAAATAATAACCGGAAAAGAAGAGACTTAGTGCTATCCCACCAACCATTCCGAGGTGTCCACACCTCCAGACACTCATTCCGGCATTTTGACAACGAAAAACGCCATTGAAATCGATTAGGGGCCATATCTTACGGCGTCTCCAACCATGCACAAGGGGGATCGTGCGGATCCCATCCTGGAAAGCGAGTCCCATCGACAGTACCCATTCTCTTCGCAGTCCCTTTCATACCTTCTGCGAATTTAAGGATTGGAGACTGGGCATGGAAAGCGCATATCGCATGACAGAATAACTCATCCTAAAACAACCGGGCCTTCCCGTCTTCGAAGACGAAAAGGACTGCGCCCGCATATTCCAGATAAACGAAGCTTGCGTCAGCAACTGTTTGAAAACCGGGTATTTAAAGACCTTCCAGCGTTTGTCCGATTATCTTGCCCATCGCAGAACTGAGCACGAATAGAGAGAGAAGGCATCCTTGTCGGTGCACGAAAGCTTTTGGAGCACTCCCGTAGACTCATTGTCAACAGGAGGAGCAACGGCAGTGTTTACACTGATGCTTCACTGTCGTATATTCTCACACGCTCAGAAGTCCGGAATGAGCCGAAATCGGTTATTAGTCCGTGCTATCGGTAACCCATTATGTATGTGACTTGTGTTTATTGTTGGCATGCTCTTGGAGGACACTGTAATCAGAAGACTTCGGTTAGTACTGTATAAAACTTCTTCGGTCAGCACATAGCTTAAGCAATCGTTCGCCCCTATTCGTAAGTACGGAGTCCAATCGAAGTCGAACAATCAACTGAGTCTCAGACGCACTACGTCTACTCATATGAGCATTCAGATCTCCGGTAAGCACAGTGATATCTATGCCTTCGGCTCGCTTACACTGATGTTCACTGTCGTATATTCTCACACGCTCAGAAGTCCGGAATGAGCCGAAATCGGTTATTAGTCCGTGCTATCGGTAACCCATTATGTATGTGACTTGTGTTTATTGTTGGCATGCTCTTGGAGGACACTGTAATCAGAAGACTTCGGTTAGTACTGTATAAAACTTCTTCGGTCAGCACATAGCTTAAGCAATCGTTCGCCCCTATTCGTAAGTACGGAGTCCAATCGAAGTCGAACAATCAACTGAGTCTCAGACGCACTACGTCTACTCATATGAGCATTCAGATCTCCGGTAAGCACAGTGATATCTATGCCTTCGGCTCGCTATAACAGGGCACTCAAAGAAGTATAAAAGTTGGCTATGATGGTGTCAAAATCACAGTTGATTGAGGTGTAAACAGACACGATCAATTACCACTTGTGAGATTCCAACGCGGGCGTTTCAAAAGGAAACTCGTCAAGTTAAGACCCTCAGGCCCTGCGACAAAAAACGATGACCACCCTAGAAGAGCCTTCCAGAGCGATCTCTGGATCGCTCGTTCGCAGCTCAAAGATGGTCGAGAACGTATGGATGATAGACCCAGTGACCGTGCTCACTTCTTGAATTTTTGTTTCTGATGAGAAATACATAGCAATATCAAAAAGTAACCCGTTTATAACACTTAGAATGGGTCCGAGAACGAGCTAGAAGAGTATGGGTCATCGAGAATAACCATTTAACCCGTCTAAAAACAAGCATGGATGACCTGGAATGTACATACGAGGACTCTGTAAAAGAACATATGGTGATTGCAGTAATAAGCAGTCAACAATCATGGCATTCATTCGGGGCATCGCTTGAATTGGCACGTAGACAGGGGGTGATGTATTGAACCAGCTTCTCAGTTCGTTAAAATGTGAGGAAGAATGCGTCGCAGTTGTTCTAGAATTTCAGGATAACCCACTCGGCCCGTGAATGACGATGCAGAAAAGGGTTCGGAAATTAGAGAGATATCCAGCTGACGTCCGGCTGTCTCAGTCAAATCTGGGTGTTCGTATCCCTATTGGATCCCGACAGACTGAGAACGTCGTCAGTTGTATTCTGAACTGCTGAGACTAAAAGGCGAAGGGAAACGGTTTTGACTCTTCCGTCTCGAAGAGCAATATGCGCAGCGTGGGTTGTAGTTCAGGAGGTCAACCTCTTCTACTAGCGGTTGATACTCGGATGACCTATCGCCTCACTGAAGTAGGACTGGACCAAGGGTGGCCAACCAAGAAGGTAACGAGATTCCAAAGGCTGGGCGACGTTCGTGTGGATACAGTTAGTGGCTCTGCGTACCAGTGACCGTAGGTTGGTAGAGCATCAGAAAGTACCTATTCCCGATGAAATGGCGGCAGGTTGAGCTTTGAATGCCAAGTTTACTGTTTTTCAGGAGGTTCTGTTAATACCTGACTGGTAAACTGGATCATAATCGAATATATGAATTATATCGACACTTCTTCTAGGAGAAAGTTTTGATCTCTTATGACATGACCAATCAGTCTTTGTCGGAATACATATAGGCTTGTATTCGAAACGAACAGATTTGTGACGCCAAATCATAGTTGATGAAGTTAAACCGGCATATGCGATTGTAAATAGGAATCTGGAAAACTCCCACTCATCGTGCGCAGGTAGTGGTTGCGTGTGTTCGATGATCAAGGACATTTAAAATATAAACTCAAGCGTTCAAAATACTGTACTGCTTGAATAATATTACCACAGTATACTCCTGAATCCTGACTTCAGTTAGGCACACACGTTGCAGGTGGAATTAACAAGCAAGACATCTCCATGGAGTGGGAAACATGGGGAGATTACTGGATGGTCGAGTAACTTATGTAGTTCTCCGAGTTGATCTTTCCTCCCCATGGAAGCTCACGTTGCGCGACAGTGTCGGCAACATGATTGCCCACGCCAGGTCGACAAGTGACATCATCCCAGTAAACACGCCGCCGGGTAACGCAATCTTCTAACGCTGTATTTTGTCATCTTTCATTTTATCCTACTGTCCATCACCGCACATGGATGTGATTGAAGGCTCGCCGGTGATCTATTTGAAGGGTTTTCGAGTGATTGTGCCGTCATTCCCTAATGGATTCGATGCTTCCTTCGCCATGGCAGGATGTTTATTCTCGTTCGAACTGAGTACCCTTATAGAAAAGGCCACCGATAGACGGTTTTGGCTGATTTATGCGGCGATAATGAAATGTAAGGCATCTGTTTCAATAACCAACGACCCATGACGGTCATAGCATTTTCTAGTTCATTCTACGTAAAAACGATCTTATAGGCATTGGAACGCAAAATGAATGTTTTATTCTTTAGCATTATGCTAATTTTGTCAGAAATGAAGATATTCCACTCGCGTAACGCGCGAACAGACTAATTGCACGTTGCATCTCCGTGGCAGGACGCGGAGGCAACTGATGGATGGTCCCGTGCGATCAGATAGGTATCCTTGTGACCTTTGAAATCTTACGATATAGGAGACAGCCGTGTTTTAGTTTTGTGTGATCCCATACTTCCTCGAGGATTTTAAAAACAACTGGAGGTCGAGGACATGCTCCCATTGTGTATTGCCGCAGATAGTAACATTGGCTATGTCGACATATATGCTTTTCAGCTCTTCGGACCTAATGATTTTTATACGGAACTGCGTACCGAAATCGCTTTATCACCGGCACCTAGGCGCTGTCACGGCCAACATACACTGCTCACGCGGTTAGCTTCCCGGTCCACAAACAAGTCGAGCTCTGATTGGTCGGAAAACTTCACCCAACGGCAAACCGTGACCTACTTATCGCTGAATACCAGTTTCCAGAACGTTGTTGCCGCACATACTTTATTTAGGAGGCACTGTACATGTATTTTGACCTGGCTTTGGGGTTTACTACACGTTATGAGCGTTTGGTGAGCGTTCTGACGGCAACACTATCCTGGAAGGTCATGACCGAAGACGAAGCCAAGAGAATACGGTTATCATTTCCAAACGGGACCCACGATACCTATCACGGGTTCAGTGAAGGAGCGTGAAAACTTAAGGGTAAACCGCATGTAAACCTTACTGAAAATTGGACTCTTGATGCTTCTGGCGGTAAACTGAAATTTACTGGTGTGACTGACTGCGCCGTAAGCCTCATTGGCTCGACTGCTCATGCCACATGCTACCTGATACCATGCTTCAAACTTGATCTCATGGGGCCGGATTGGATCGATAAGCCGAGTGTGCTGGAAAAGCGTATTATTTCAGTTTGCGAGATCACGCACGCAGAACTCGGAGGTGAACTTGAACAAACTCCGTATTCTAAGCCATCATTACAAGGTCTCCTGTAGCTCTAAGTATTTATATTCTGGGGTGTCCTTCGATGGTGCACAAAGGCAAGAACCGAGCTGTGCCCCCTCTCCAACGCCGAACTAGTTTTAAATTCAAAACGCCCAGTATCATGTGTAGCCTTGTCCAGGAACTGGACCGACTAAAGGATACCGACAAAATACTCTGTACGGGCCGCGCCGACCGTGTTTTTGAATAAGGCTGAGGGGGCCATCTAATTATGTTGAGGCTTCTCCACCTGTTTCACTGCTCCAGTGGATACCCATTAGGATCCCATGTCTCTTTCAGATAACTTCGCGAAACTGAGTGGGGGGTTTTTCGACAAGATTGACCCAGTAAAGTTATATATATATATATTGATGATGATGAAGAAAGCCTAGAAGCATTGACAATCAGTACTCAGCACGGCCAGTTTCAGTATACGCGCATTGCTTTTAAGCGTAAAGGCAGCGTCAGTCATATTTAAACATATCATGAATACAATTGTTATATCTGCTGATCCGTCAATCTGTCTGCTGCTGACCCGCTCCAGTGCCTGGTGTCGGAGAGAACAGACTCACAGAAGGGAACACAACTGCTGTATTCCGAACAAGCGAGTGAGTGAGAGTGCGTGAGAGTGCGAGAGAAAAAGTCTCAACGGCTATACGCTATTTAAAGGGGACTTTCTGACATTGATGCAGGCTGTCTGATAGGCGTTAGTGATCA